AGGGAGGCTTGCGAGAGTGAGGCTGAGCCTGCAGAGGAACTCTTTCTGGCCTGCCTTCCTTAACTGTGTATGTACATATATATATTTTTTAATTTGATGAAAGCTGATTACTGTCAATAAACAGCTTCATGTCTTTGTAAGTTATTTCATGTTTGTTTGTTTGGGCGTCCTGCCCAGTGTTGTTTGTAAATAAGAGATTTGGAGCACTCTGAGTTTACCATTTGTAATAAAGTATATAATTTTTTTATGTTTTGTTTCTGAAAATTCCAGAAAGGATATTTAAGAAAATAAAATATTGAAAAAGTACCCCTCCCCCAACCTCTTTTCTGAATTATCTATAGATTACCTACCTAGGTGGAGTTGAAATAATTAAGATCACTCTCAGTGCTTCTTACTGTCAAGCAGTAAAAGCTATTCTCTACTGGACTTGAGAAATAGCTGTAGCCAATGCTCTTGTCAAGTTATACTCTTCCCTCCCCCCTGTCTATGTAGAGTTGCTTACAAAGGATAGTGTGGCCCTTCCGGAGGCTGAGGGAAGGGAGGTTGGTTGTGGTGAAGAAGGGCAGCCCACTGGGAAGTCAAACACTTTATAAAGTTTGGATTATCAAGTGGCATGTGCTGTGACCACTTATAATATTATTAGAAATTCAACAGAAGATGCTTATTCTTAAAGCAGGAACAGTGGCAGATTTTTACAAAAGATGCATCCTTCCAATTTGGAACCTTCACTTTAACAATTCCTAGATTAAAAAGATGGTCTTTGCTTATGAATATTTATAACAGCATTCTTGTCACAATAAACGTATTCAAATACCAGTGACAGACCTTGAATTGCTTTCCCTTTACTACTTTTGTTCTTCCCAAGCCCTATATTGAAGCTCTTTTCTGTTGCAGGGGTTAACATTACTGCTATCTGAGGTTACTCAGTAATTAAGCAGAGAATTTATTAAGAGTCAACACAGAAGTTGCAACCTAAGTGAAACAGATTAATTCATGTTTCTCTCTCTGTCTCCCTCCCTCTCTCTCTCTCTCTCTCTCCAACACTAAGCCTACACTAGCAGTTTACCATTTTGGATTCTTTAGTTTACTTCTTAGTTTACATCTAAAATAACCCGTTTAAGTAATTATTTTAAAATCATTCTCAAAAGATGGTAATCTGGATACTATGGAAAATATTCACAAGAGAAAACATGAACACCAACACAATGATTGTGTAAATCAGACCTTAACTCTGGGGAAATGGCAAACTTAAATTCTGTCTACGGATATAACTTAGGAGATCAACAAGGCAGCACTCAACAAGGGAACAATTTTTGCTTATGTGCTTTTCATCCCAAGAGCCAGTGTTATTATCAAGCAGCAAAAGCAATTTCATATCCAGGAATATTTATTTCACAAACCACTAATTGAGGCAGGGCTGTTTGCTCATTAGCAGTGCTCTAGTACCCAACAGGTCTGGGAGCACTAATACCCTGTTTGTGACTGTAAATCCACAGACAGAGTTTCCCCTTAGTATATCTAGAAGTGGAAGAGATTGGACAGGCTTGTTAGCTATCAGATCCACTCCGTTGTTAATAACACATTTTTTAACAAAGGGTTACTGGGAGCAGAGTCGAGTTTGCCAAACAGTGAATTTGCCGATGTCAGCAACCCGGAAGGTGAGTTGATTTTGACCATATGTAGAAATAGTCAGCAGAGGGACAATAAAGCACTTTGGGGTGGGGCTCTGTGGAAGCTAAACAAGAGCCAACTAGAAAAAATAAGCAGGCTGGAGAATTAATTACCTGCAAAGGTAGACTAAGCCCAGACAACAGTGCAGTACAGAAAAGCCACACCACTCCCCCGCTTGCTTTAGACTCCAGTGTTAAAAGAAAAAAAAAAAAAAAAAGCCTGAAACTCAGGCTTATCTCCACACTTGTTTGTTTCAAGTAACATTCCAATTGTATATTCCTGAAATTCTAACCATTCTAACAAAAGAAGTAGAAAAAATAATTGTGGTAGAGGAAAATAACCAATGACCTCCTATAAACTTTGGAGACAGAAAATCAGCTAATTACTTGCAGACAGTTAATTTAATTTTGGCATTCAATGAGTTATTGTTTGGGTAACACTAATAGTTGGAGAAAATGAAGCTAGTAGCACCTAAAGCCATTAATCCTCTTTTAATTTGTTTTATATATGAATATATGAGTATTTCAATTAGAAATTTTTAACCCCTGGTGTCCATAGGAGCAGAGGGTTCATGAACTCAATGAAAATGCCTATAAACTTGCTGTGTACGTCTGTGTGTGTGCTTGTAAGTGCACACGTGCTCACACACACACACTCCTGGGGAGAGAGATCATTAGCCTTTATTTGGCTTTCAGAGTTCCATGACTCAAAAGAGGTTAATAATTCCTAAGCTACACACTCACTTTGAGAAACACATCTTTGTGTGAACCTGAATCCACGCCTTTTCACCCCTCCATGCTTCTGCTTCTGCTCATTCCTCTGCCTGATATGCCCTTCCTTCTGGTTCCACTAATGAATCCTACCCATTCTTCAAGGGTTGGCATAAGTGGCACCTTCTCTGTGAAGCTTTTTTTGTCAACTCCATCTTCAGGTGAAATGAATATTCCCCGTGGAACACCCATAGCACTTTATCAAAACTTCTATGGTAGCACATTGTGAGCCTCTGTGTCTCCTGGCCAGGACCCTATCTTACTCATCTGTGGACCCCAGACTCCTAGTACAGTGCCTGGCACATACAGGATGTTCATAAAATAAATGTGTGATGGATGACTGAATGAACAACAGGGCTTAAACACTCCTCCAAAATAACCCCAGGTCTTAACTCCTTCTGGTGAAATACACCTCATTCATTTCCTGGGACACAATTCCAGATGGGTTGAAGACCCCCCAGAGAAGCCAAATCTAGGCAATCACTAAGGTCTAAAACCTAGTTCTCAATGAGTGCTCTTACAAGAATTAAATTGTTAGCACATTCATCCTTCCAGTCACATGGAGTGTCCCTTCACTCCCCACTAATGCAAGTGGTCATCTTCTTATATAAAATGGGCCTGCCTAAAACCTCAGACTTGGAAGTAGAGATGGGAAAGAATAATATGTGATCATTAGGCAGGCACAAAAAATAGTTTTAGATGTGGCTTCATTAAAAGCAACCACCTCACGGGTATTGGAGGAGAGGACTTTCTGTCATGTATTTCAGGGGTCCAGAAGTCAGTACCTAATATTTGCTTGACCGAGACAATGATAGCGATAATGTATCTATTTCCCTTGTTCTTTAATTGTCAGAGAAGATGTGCACAGGTTAAACCAAAGCCTTTTAGTTCGCCCTGTCCTTTGCCTCCACCACCCACTTCTACATTGGTCAAGTGAAATGTCATGGAAGAGGGAAAGAGGGTCAGAAGCTGGGACGGCCCCAGAAAGTAAAACTATTCCTTGTTAACTCTGGAATCTGGCCCCAGTTATTTGGTTGGGCTTTTGACATCCCAAAGAAGGGCTTTCCCCTGGGCCTGGGTCTCATTGAGGCCCTGTGCCAGATGTGGGGATTCAGTGGTGAGCAAGACACGGTGCCCACACTCAGGGGAACTCACAGTCTAGTGGGGAGGAGCGTGCAAATGAAGCAGAAAGAAGTGCCAGTGGGGGAGGAGGAGCAGTTATCAGGAAAGACTTCACAGGGGAGGTAACCTCTGAGCTGACCGGTGGGACTCACCAGGCAGAAGCTGGAGGAGGAGGAACTTGTGTGCAAAGAAAACTTGGTGTGCTTAGGGACTTTGTAAGCTGCTTGCAGAGGCTGGGGATGAAGGTGTGAGAGGAAAAGTGAAGGGAGATGAAACAAGAAAGTTTAAGGGTCAGGACAAAATAAATGAACAAACAAAACTGAAACAGACGCATAGATACAGAGAACAGACTGGTGGTTGCCAAAGGGGTGGGGGTTGGGGAACTTGGTGAAAGAGGTGAAGAGGTTAAGAAGTGCAAATTGGTAATTTTGTACCAATAGTCATGGGGATGTAAAGTACAGCATAGGGAATATAGTCAATAATATTATGATAAATATGTATGGTGCCAATTGGGTAATGGAAATACCAAGTGGAATACTTTGTAAAGTATATGATTGTCTAACCACTATGCTGTACACCCGAAACCAATACAAAATAATATTGGGGGAAAATAAAATCAACAAGTGTATTAAAAAAAAAGTTTAAGGGTCAAGTTGTTAAGAGTTTGAATGCTGTCTCTTAGAAATGTAGACAGATTTGAAGCAAAGCAAGGACATGACTCTCTCAGCTTAAGAAAGATTCATGCAGGTGACAGTTTGGATGATGGACTGGTGGGGAAGAAGCTAAGGAAAAAGAGTAATACCAAAGAGAGGGTTTTAGTTTAGTTTAAAGGGCCTGTGGTGTTTAAAGTAGTCTTAGAGTTGGGGAGAAATGGGAAGGAGATGGCTTGGTTCAAGCAACACCATGCCACAGTTCCTTCTATGCAACTTTTTGAGAAGTTAGGCCTAAGGAGGGATACCCAGTTCACTTTTCACCTAGGCTACTTGTCCCACATTTAAGTTTTCCTCTCCACTGTGTCAATTTGACATGTGAAGGAAGGTCATCTTAAAAATTGTCCAGAGCTCCCCTGCTCAGTGTCAGTATGCTCAAATACACAGATGCGAAAGGAGGAGGCTTGTGACCTCCCAGGCTCACAGTACAGAGTTGGTCCTCACCACTGCAGGACCCAGACCAAATTTTATCTTATCACCCAGAATTGATTAAGCTCAGTGGGATGAACTGACACACACTCTTTGAT